CTGTGGGTATACGAACCAAACGGATAAACAAACCTTAAACACTAAAAGTATGTAATCTAAATAATTGACCATTTAAGCAGCTTCAGAGTAATGGTAGTGTTTTCTGTAAATGTAAAAATCCTTATATTGTCACAGCTTTTCTCTTTACTCCACTTGTATAATTCTAGAATTTCAAAGTGTTCCTCGCTACACCACAAACTCAGACAGCAAAGATTTATTTTTGGCTTAAATATATTGCTTCACCAGACAGTATGATGAGGCTAGGAGGTCAGGGGAAGGGTACAGTGAGTGTCCGCAGCTATTTGTAAAACACAGTGGAGGCTCTGTCATGATTGCAGCTGCAGCTGGTGGTGTTGAGGAAAATTATGAACATAGAAAAGTACCATCAGATTTTCATTCACCATGTAATACCTGCTGTCTGGAAAGCATCTGATTGGCAACAGCTTCATTCTTCAGCATGACAATAATCCCAAACATTGTGCAAATGCAGTGAAAGCATACTTGTATACCTCCCCCAAGCCCACACCTCAACAACTGAAGTAGTGAGAACATAAGGGAAGGTCCAAAACAGAAGATCCAAAACAGAACATTGGAATGTCCTCCAAGAAGCCCAAGAATAATTCATGAAGACTACTTAAATAATTAATATAAAAGGTTACGCTGTGACGAAGAATAAAGGTGCAGCAGATAAAATAAGTATTGAACACATCACCAAATTTCCACCAAATACATTTCTGAAGGTGCTGTTAACATGAAATTCTTACCAGATGTTAGAAACAAGCAATCCCTCCCAACCCATCCAATCCTTTGTTGGTGATGAGAGCTTTAAGACACCTCCTTTATGGAGAAACTAGTCACATGCATTGCTCAGATTGATTTTGGCCCATTTTTCCACACAGTCTTCAAATCCTGAAGGTTCCATGGGCGCCTTCTATGAACTCGGCACTCTGGGTCAGGTGACCATTCTAGCAGCTTTATTATCTTTCTCTGAAACTACTTAAGTGTTTTCTCGACTGTGTGTTTAGGATCATGTCCACCTTCATTTCATCTTTATCATCCTGGTAGATGGCAGAAGACTTTTAAATGGTAAATGGCCTGTATTTGTATAGCGCTTTTCTAGTCCCTAAGGACATCAAAGTGCTTTATACTTCATTCACACACACATCCACACACTGGTGATGGCAGCTACATTGTAGCCACAGCCACCCTGGGGCGCACTGACAGAGGCGAGGCTGCCGGACACCAGTAGGCAACGGGTGAAGTGTCTTGCCCAAGGACACAACGACCGAGACGGTCCAAGCCAGGGCTCGAACCGGCAACCTTCCGATTACAAGGTGAACTCCTTGAGCCACGATCGCCCTTTCTTTATCAAGAATGTCTTAGTGCTTTATCTTCAATTATATGAAGCATGTCAGAACCATACGGTGTAAAACAGCCCCACACCACAATGTTCCCACGGCCAAACGTCACTGTTGGTATGGTGTTTTCAGGGTGATGCCTTTTGAACTCCAAGCATGGTGCGTGTTATGGCATCCAAAGAGTTCAGTTTACTTGTCATCTGACCACACCAAATTCTCCCAATATTTCACCAACTTGTCTAAATCTTGTTCGGCCAAGCAAGCCTCAACATGCTTTTTCTTCAGCAATGAAGTCGTGCGTGGTGAGCGTGGATACAGAACATTGATGGACAGCATTACTTATTGTTTTCTTTGAAACGACTGAACCTGCTGATTCCAGGTCTTTCTGCAGCTCTCCACAAGTTGGCTCTGGGACAACTCTTCTGATAACTTTTTTCACTTCATTGTCTGAAATCTTGTGGGGAACAACTGTATATAGTGAAATGATGTTCTGTCCACTTTCAGATTATGGCTCAATAGTACTCACTGGAACCTTCAGTAGTTTAGAAATTCTTCTGTAACCAGTGCCATCAGGATGTTTTGCAACAGCAAGGCCGCTAAGATCGTGAGAGATCCTGGTTTTACCATGAGATGTTTCCTTGGTAACGAGACCTTTTTACAGGCCATCAGTTTGACTGAACCAGCTGATATTAATTTGCACTAAGTGGCAGGATTGTGTTTTAATTACTGATAGATTTCAGCTGGTAGGGCTGGGCGATATGACCCAAAATTCATATCTCGATATTTTTTAGCTGGATGGCGATATAAGATATATATCTCGATATTTTTTTAAGCCATAAAGTAAGAACAAAAAGAGAGTTCTTAGTCAAAGCTGTGTCCCAGATGTCACACAGGCACTTTTATTAACATAGCAGCACAGATGTACATGAAAATATTACTCAAAAATAAATTATGAGCATTCATTAAATAATAATGCTCCATAAATAAAAGAAAACAATGTTGTTTTTGTGCATAACAAAAAGCTCACAATTGTGCAGTCAAAATGTAAACTAAAAGACGCTGAGCACAATAACAAAGACAGATTTCACAGCTGCTCTGTTCCCAACTTGTACTGCGTGACTGACAGCCTGGAGTTTGAAATCCGCTTCGCAACCACGTCTCTTAACAGGTGCCATTTATGGTCCTTATACACAGTAGGGTAATATTACGTTGAAGCACAGTACGTATCACTCCGCGAGGCTCAGCCGTAATGCTCCGACAATCCATCAAGCGGTGCAGCTCCGTAGCTTACCAAAGTCGTACTAAAACATTTTTTGACAGATTGCTGAGCGCCGTGTTCCACATAAAATCGGTTCGCGGCCATCAAGCACAACCAGAATTCATACATAAGGCGCGCTGTCAACTTTTGAGAAAATGAAAGGATTTTAGTCCGTGCAGCACCTCTGGGCTGCATGGCGTTAGCGTGGTTAGCTCGTTAGCGTGGTTAGCTAGCTAACACGTTGACGCCGTCCAGCCCCACGCACGGGGCGATGCGCAGTAACTCGTTAACGGAGATTTGCCGTGTCCATCTTGTCGCTTCCTGCAGGTGAAGCGATGGGGGAGGAGGGGGAGTTGTGTTCAGTGAAGGAGAGGCGAGGCCGAGTAACGTTGCGTAAAGACGAAAGTGGACGAAAGAGAGGCAAACTTGCGGCTCCACAAGTATAATTATAACGTAACATAGACTATATCGATATAAAGATATTGTCACATCTTATATCTCGTATAAAAATATATCGATATTTTTTAAAAACTCGATATATCGCCCAGCTCTATCAGCTGGTGTCTGTCATGGTCCCCTGCCCGGTGTCCGAGGAGCTGATGGGATGCCCACGCCCACGGGTGTGGCTGTTAACTCCACACCTGCATCCCATCTCAGGCGATTATCAGGTGGACTATTTGATCCAGCCCAGCCAGCTGCTCCACGCCAGTCCGTTAGTCGTCTCACAGCGGTAACGTACACCCACGGGAAGGCGGTTGTGAAAACCCTCATTTACCTGAACAAACGCTAATCTTTTCTCTTTGCGCTCAGGTAACAGCTCGGCGTGTTTTTGAGCCACCTGCCGTCTGGAGTTTGGATCGCCTCCGGTACCAATCACCTCTACTTTCCTGGAGCTCCCCCGCGGACCCTCACCCCTCCCTCCGGCTCCCACGGCCCCGCTTTGACTGTAAGACTCATACTCTCCCCCACGTATGCTGCTATTTCCCCGCTCCCCAGTAACTCTCTTCCTCTTTCTGTTGCAGCCTCCCACAGTCCCGATTACTGCGTTCCTGCGTAACTCATCCCCCGGTCCCTTGGTTTTTCTAGTTTCTCGCGTGTTTTCCTTTGACCCTTCCAGGACACCTTTAGTTGAAATAAAGTTTATTTTTCGTACTCCTGCGTGTTGTCTCTGCTTCTGGGTCCAGCTTGCGTACTGAACTTCGGTTCATGACAGTGTCATGAATTTCCATCTATTTTTGGACTTCCCATTTTGCATGTTGTAACGGTGGTCTGGCGAGGAAGGACTGGCTAGGAGGCCCATATGGTGTAGAGGTTAGTCAGTTAGACAGAACAACATATATACATGTACGGATCAGGTAGTCGCCGGCGCCAGCCCGTTACAATGGTATGGTCTCTCTAACCAGATGCCTGGAGAGCAGTATACTCGGCTGCAATGGCTGCTGCTACACTCACATTAGGAGACTCTCCAACTACTACAGTAATAAGACTATTAATATTATTAATACTAGCATATTTTAGTATTACTTTCTGAATTTATCTTCAAATGTTATATTTTCCTAACTTTTCTATTGGCAAAAGTACAGGATAGAATGAAAACAGGTTTTATGTCCAGCATGATGTCCCAGTGTCTGTGCTGAATAATGCTATGATTTGGTGGACTGCCTCTATGTGATTAAGAGACTTAAATAATGTTGTGCATCTTTCTCATCTTATCTGCTTTAACACAAATGTGCGTTTAGCTTCCATAATGATTGAGCCTTTGCCTTAGTTGTGAAAGGCTCCACGCTAAAGTGGGTGGATTAGATTGAAATCTCTGATTATTCACTCTAAATTATTTTTTATAAATACAATAGATCTTCTGATTAATTAGGTTGCTTTTGAAGGTAACATCGTAATGTTTAACCAATTGAAATGAGGTTTGCAAATGTGAAAAGGGTTGATTACATTTGGAAACAGCATAGTCCATTAATATGAATTACTGCATGACATTCTGATTAGGAGCTGAGCCCTGTCTGAAGGCAAAAAGCAGGTACAGCAAGGTACCCTTGATACAGCAGATGATGAATGTATGTATTGCAATAGCACAGAGCACACATCCTGTTGTAGTCAGAAAATGTGTGCTGTGATGACGTTTAATTAATGTAACCTCTGCACTCAAAGTCTGCGGCTGCCATATATAAATAAGGATTTTAAAATATCATATTGTGAAAATGAAAGCGAACAACGTGTCAAATTTAGGATATGATAACAGAAACTTGCTGATTAGTTCATTTGAATTCAGTACATGATGTGATACTTGGGAAATATTATGCTGAAGATTTTTCTCTCTTTTTTTTAATAATCAAGCCTTTAGATTCACCACAGGGGACCTCCACTCAGCCTGGCAGGGCCTCAAAACCATGGCCTCTGTGGATACTGCGGTCATCACCCCCAGAACCATCCGGGTGGAGGGCAGCAACCCCTCCTCCCTCCCTGATGACCTCGCTTTCTACACCAGGTTTGAGACGGACAATATCATCCAGCTTGAGGAGTCCAGATCCTCACTCAAACCTGGCAGCTCTGCACTCACCTTCAGGACTGAGGACGTGGTGAGAGCCCTCAGGAGGACCAGGGAGAGGAGCTCACCCGGCCCTGACAACATCAGCAGTCGAGTT